GGCCCGCCGCTCCTCTCGTCTCGTCTGCTCCCGCGTTGTCATGGTGCCCGCGGGATGCCGGAAGTGCCGGCCCCGGCGGCCCCGGCCAACCGCCGCCTCGGGGCCTCGCCGCCATCTTCCACCCTTCATCGCCCCCAGGAACCTGCCTCCCAGTTAATAGCTTTTCTTTTTCTTAGGATGGGTGTATTTGAAATATCTAAACCCAGCAGCAGACAACCCATCCCTCACTATGACCGGAGGGCACCAGCTGCAGAGCCTGCGACCCCATCCTGTCACCCAGCACCAACACAGAGCCCCTGGCGCCGTCCCGTCACCCAGCACCAACACACAGAGCCTGTAGAGCCTGCGACCCCATCCCGTCACCCAGCACCACTGCAGAGCCCCTGATGCCATCCCGTCACCTAACGCCAACCACAGAGCCGGTGACATGGTGCCGCTGAAAAATTTCTTGAGCCACTGAGCTGGCCCGTCTGTTGTTGCAAGAGTTGGGCAATTTTACTTTTCTTCCTTCACATAAGCAGTCCAGCACACCTAAAGGTAGCCTGCTGTGAGTTCCCAAGAACCTTTAGGTACGTGAAAAGTTTGAAAGCGTAATAGCTCTCTGGTTATACCATGAAGGAGCCCAAGAAACGTTCGCAAGAGCTAGATCTCAGAAAGGAGCAGTTTAACCAATTAGTACTGCTAAAACGTTGCAAGCGTTTACCAGCACATTCATTTGTAGCAGCTCAGGTTTCTATACCCTGCACTGATAGAAAAAGAACGTCTCAGAATAACTGAAAAGATTAATTCTGCTACACACGTGGATGCATAACCATGGCTCAATAATACATTAAATACGAATCACTTTTCAGAGACTGGAGATGCTGATAAGTCATGTTGACCCTGCATGAGTCAATGTGTTCTGTGTTTGACGGTAAATACAGTTCAGATATATCTAGGAATCATAAGGCAAATGTCTTTCCTCCACCCCACTCAGCCCAAGAGGGTGAAGTCCCCCAGCTGTGCCAACAGCAGCTGTTATTTTTGGCTCCTACGTCACCTCCTTACAGCCTCTGGCATAGGAGGAGAGGTCAAGGGACAGAAGAAAAGAAGAGCAGTGGCTGAGCTTTCTGACTGTGCAGAGCTGGCAGGCAGCCCCGTGGGAGTCTTTGCCAGCTGGCCCAGGTAGAGCAGCCCTTATCCTAAATTCAGGGAAGCAGGGAATTTGGTTTAATATATTTGCCTCTTAATTGCTGTATCGAAACTTATCGTTGTCTCATGAGATCAGTGTTAAAATAATATATGGATCTGCATTACAAAAATCCTCAAGGAAACAGATTTTTTAATGCTGAGCTGGGATTTCTCCTAACATTAGTATCCTGGAAGCACATCATATCTAGCCGTTTTCAGTATTCATTCAGCACTATCATATCATATGGATGACTGACATTAGTTAAACAGCTGTTCCACTGGGCTTTTACATTTGCTGAAATTTATGGACTGCTACCAATTTATAGTGGTTTATTATCAGCTATGTAGCTTTTTAAAGTGTGCTTCCTGTGAGTCGGTGGCATTCATTTAATATATAATACAAAAACATGCATTATATTTTCTTAAGTTAATTAGAATCCAACTGTACCAGTTGGATCAGGACCATACTCTGTTAGGAACTGTAGAAATACAATAAAAGACAGCCCTTGCTCAGAAAAGCTTACGCTTATCTCAAGTCAAGGTAGAAGGGTGGGAACATTGCACAACAGAATTTGTGGGGAGGGAAAATAGGAATGTAACAGAAGTGAGAACACATGCCTATATAAGTTTATATTTTAAAGTAAGTCACAGACATATAAGAAAAAATATATTTATCTGTCATATTTAATATAGCAATAAGATTGTGCTATGTTTTCGCTCCTGTACAGTGTTCCACCAACAATCAATATGCTTCTGCATCATTCTTTCAGGTAACACAACATTTATAAGCTACTACTTTTCTGATAAATCTGATGCTTTAACATGATGAGTATCCCAGGTCTTATTTGAATTAGCAGGCATGAGGCAGAGAGGTCCTACACTTCTGATGGTGCAAGATCAGGACACAGCCAGGAGATACTAGAGCCAGAACTTCCTGCTGCGTGTCACACGTAATACTGGTAATCACAGCGATGGTAACAACAACATCTGCTGAGTTCAATGGCATCAATTAAATATCTCACTGGAAAGGTAAGTATCTTTACTGAGGGATTCTGTTAGATGTAAATGACTTCAGCTCACCAGAACTAATTACTGTGTGACTAATTGTTGAGTATTATGGTAGTTCCTGTCCCCAAACACTGTAATTGTAATGTCTTAGGTTAGTGGCTGTTACTCTGTGCATCCTATTTTCTTCTATATCTGGCACTTTGTCTGGTATCTAATCATCGTCCTGTTTCTGATGATGCTCTGTGATAACCTGTGATTAGTCATATCTGACAGCTTAGCTAAATTCTGATGTGTGATACCTGGCATGTTATAAATGATTGTTCTCCGCAGCATAGAGTTTGACTGCAGTATTTGAATCTTGATGTCTGGCATCTCACTTTTATTGGAGAAAGTAAGACAGAAGAATTTCCTGTTTTAGGACTGTTCTAAGACATGTTCTCAGAAAAGCGAAATAGCTGAGAGTAGGTATTTATAATAATCTATGCTTTATAATAAATTCCTGTCTGTTGATCCTTTTTTTACCTGAGTATCACTTAAAATCTTAGAGTAAATTATAAACTGATAACAACATCTATGTTATACTTAATACCATTTAGATTGTCCCTAGTACCTGTGTGTTAATGCAGCAGAGCTAAATTTCCCTAAATTTGCCAGTATAACAAGGTTTCTGACTTCAGAAGCAAAAAATTCTCCATAGAGTAGATAGGCTTTTCCTTATACAGAGACTTCAAAGATATAACTTTTATTAAAACAATCCACTTAAAATATTTCTACCTGAGGCAATGTGAAAGTATTCTTGTGACTACAAAGTCTGCAGGTTACTGCAGACTTTTTTGAACCCAAAACAGGATCTCACAGCCTCTCTTTCCGTTCAGAGGTAATTCACCAGGGCACTGATTAACATACCAGAGAAGGTGACTTCAAGCGCCCTCCAGACTGAATGTGCAGAGTCACTGCACAGCCCTGGGCTCACTCGCAAGGGCTGGGGACGGTTCAGGGGAGCTGCTGCTACTCAATGAACTGACTGTGCCCATAAATCCTGCCTTTGCACATTAGGTTGCTATTTAAAGTTGCAGTATCATTAACCTGTTTCTAAATATGCTGGGCAAGGAAATTACTTTCCAAAATGTGCCCCGCTCTACACAGCAGAGGGAGGAGGTACACAGACGACACAGGAGACAAATCTGGGGAAAGCATTGAAGCTTCAGTGACACAGACTTTGAGCCGCTGTGTGTCAGCCCATCAGAGAGACTGTTTACGCTACGGTTTCACCCCAGCACTTTTCTGTGCAAACGTACTGCTTATGAAGAAAAGGTGTCACGTTAGTTGTTCAGGGACTGTACACCGAACAGGAGAAATGTAGTCAGAACCAACATACCTCCCTTTCCACGGCTTAGGAAGAGCTTATGCCATGAATAAATGGTTAAACCTCCATTGCCAAGGCTGCTGTCTTCTAATCCCGGTTACCCAAAACTGTGATGAATCTTCCAAAATGACTAACAGTCAAGTAGTTAATAGTGCTAATGCTGAACGAAAATAATGACAAACCAGGAGCACTAGAGACAATGTTACTTGACGTTTTAAAATTCTGTATTCTCCTCTTCTCCCAAGCTCTCTTTAAGAAAATATCCAAAGAGAAGCCAGTCATATCACATATTCCTTCCTGAAAAAATTAGAAATTAAAGCACAGTCCAAAGCGGACATAGATATTAAAAAGACATTCACACTGATTACCATATTCCTGTTTATAGAACTGTTAGCATTTTCAGCATGAGTAAAAAATAAAAGGCAGAGAGAGGGAGAGAGAAACACAGAAGGTCCTTATTCAGGCAAGACTGTAGGGCAGAAAAAAACCTCAGTGATAAGGAATACAGTAAATAGACTTGAATCACACCCTGTCTGCAATATATTGCCTCTACTCTGTTGTACCTTCCCTAACTTT